AATGCCGAGGTATGACTGCTGGTTTTATATGTTCTCTCTTTGTATAATCCTATCCATGGGAGTTAATGGTTGGAGAAGTTTGGGAGTCTTAATTTTGGACAACTTTAAAAAAAAAAAAATCATGATCACAACAGCAAATATTTTATGCATATTATTTATTTAAATTTTATTTTAGGAGAACTTTACAACAAATTGGTGTAAATGGTTTATCTTTATTAGATTTTAATTTTAATAAAAAACCATCTATGAAATTTGGAACCCGATATCTTTCATTATGAAGCTTATGTGTGAAGTATTTATGTGTATATCCATGATAAATTGATAATCTTATTAGATCTCTCTGCTCGTGGAAGGTAGGAACTGCTGGAAGACATTTGGTGACTTGCACCCAAATTGTGTCTTGAATTTTGATTGATTTTACTATGTTAAATTGCAGGAGAGTTGGGACATATCAAGCAGTGCATATGGCCTCTGGAGGGTCGTTACGCTAGCAATTACTTTTGCCTTCTTCATTTTCTTATACTTACTAATTGTAAATGTGAGAAGAAGAACGTCGAAAGTTAAGAAGTGAAAGTAATTAAATCATAATTTGTGGGATCACAGTCTAAAAGATTTTAGAGAAGAGATATTTTAGACAAAATCTGCATCAGCCATGTTTTAAACGATTGATATTCTCATCCCCGGTCGTATAGCTTAAACTGGAGTTTGTTCCAAGTTTTGTCCGTTGATGAGAACAGAGAAGCTTAAATTCTGTTGAGCGTTTCCTCTTTATTTTTATTTTTGTTGACTAAGAACTGTGGTTATCGTGCAACTAATTCAAAAAAAAAAAAAAAAAAAAAAAAAAAAAAAAAGAAAGAAAGAAAAGGCATTCTAAGTTTATTTTTTGTGCCAACTAACCTAAACCTGTACGCAAGCAAATAATGAGACAAGGGAGTTTCACATCTAAAAGCTGATTACAAGTACTCCTTTGTCCTACTTATCTTCTTGAATACACAGTATTGGCTCAACAATTTCTTAATAAAACGTTTTATAAAAGGTACATGGCCATGGATCCTCTCCAGCTAAAAAAACTGAATAGTGCATTTAATACATTTTTTTATGTTAAAATTTAAAATTAATGAATGTTCAAGATTTTTCCACTTATACTTTTGTAATGGTGGAATGTATTTAAAATTTTAAACTTTTTCTTTGAACTGTTATTTTAATAATTTTGATTAACATTCATGTGCATTTAATTTTTATTTTTCACCGAACTTAATATTTTGGTACATGTCAATTACTATGTTACAACCTAATTGTTTTAAACTCTACTAGCATCTTACTGATATATACTTAAAATTTGTAACCATTTGCAGTGTCGAATTTATTGCTGAACTTGTAACGTTTGAATTTATTGATCGTGTTAATGTCATCTGTCCTGTGTGGTTCCACATCTACCAATGTCAGTTGTTATGAATCAATTCATATATGTAAAACATGCTAGAGTGTTTTTAGAGTTTTTTTTTATCAAAAGATTTTTAAAGATACTTATAACTTCATATTTAATTTTTTTTTAATTTATTATGATTATTTATAAATTAAATTTTAATAATTTTAAAATAAATTATCAATAAATAAAATAACCTCTTCTCACTATTATAATACAAATTATTTATCATAAATTTAAAACATAATTTATGTGATTAAACATGATATTTATTTATAAATATAATTTGTTTTAAATTTTATTTATATAATAAATATTTAATCTATGCATTGGACAACTAAAATACTAATTTTAAATAAAAAAGGAAAAAAAATGAACCTAATAATTATAATTAGGCCATGATTTTGCTCGTCCGTGGAAATTACCATTATTTGGGGGCCCAAGGCCAAGGGGGCATGGTTGAATCAAATATGCCTAAGACAATAATTCAAATATTTAACAATTTCTAATTTGCTTCTGGTCTTGTGAATTATGTTTCTTTTATCGAGCATAAAAATTTCTAAAATACACATACATATACTTTTAAAATTTTTAGTTTTTTATCATCCAGTTAAAGTAGGTGGATTTTATTTTTGTTTACATATATTTTTAATTCACGTATTTAAACACAATAAACATAAAAATGCAAGTATTATGTAATTATCATCATTTCTTTATAATTAGACTAAACTCTCTCTGTATATAAAAACATACAACAAAGGCATGCTGGAATAAAATAAAAAAACAAAATATAATTTTTGATGTAAATTCTACCATAGAAAGTGACTCCAAATTACCAACATAAAATTTTAGCCACGCCAATAATAAAGAATGCAGGAAAAAGAATAATGTTGGGATAAAATAGAGACATGTCACATGCGAATAGGAAAAAGAAATAGTGATTAAGTTAAAAGAGTTAAGAAAGGGCAGAGGTAGGAAGAGTGCAGATAAGGGCTTCCGCATGGTAGCGCCACCGCCGTAAATAAAAATAAAAATAAATAATAATAATAATAATAATAATAAGAAAAGCAAAGCAAAGACAGAGATTGAAAGGAATCTATTTGAGACTTTGAGTTGAGTTTGAGCAATTTCACCTGTCAGCTGTCACCGTGAGTCTCTTCTATTGTCAAACGCTTCTTTCTTTCCGACACTTTCACTCTGCACCACAACACACTTCTCTTGTTTTCACTTTAACATTCACGACGTAGTACAATGTTATGTTTCCTCAGCATTATAACAATGACCCTTTCTCGGACTTGAATTTCTAACCTTTGCTGTGTTTCTCTTCAAGGTATTGTAAACATGAAGGACTGTTTGTTTTTTGACAAGAATTTCAATGGTTTGTCGGATAAGATTCTTGATGATGTCCTCGAGTTATTTGATTTCCCCCTTGAGGATGTGGAAACTGATGCTGGTGTGGACCTAGATTGGGATGCTGAGTTCAAACTCCTTGAAGAGCCATCACTTGGGATTTTTTCTGTGAGTTTCCTTTCCTCACTTATGCTCTATCAATGGATGTCTTTGTTTGGGTAACTTCCCATGTTGCCCCTTGCTTCATGTACAGAGAACCTTACAATTTTACTTCATTTCAATTCAATTTTTGACTCCTTGGATAAACTTATTCGGAATCACTTCTAGAGAAGAAAATGGGAGACTAAAGTTAAATAAGTTTATCTATAAGCTAAAATTAGCTCATACATAAGTTAAAAATAAGATTTTCGAGAAATTAATATGATAGAGCTTCTATAAATTGGTTTATGCATGAGATAATTTTAGCTTGTGTAGAAGTTTATTAGTGTTTATGGAAAAGTTAATCCAAACAGGTCCTATATCTGATAAATTAATTATGCATATAGTTTAAATGTTCAATTATGTGAAACTAAGACAACATGAATATAATTTGGTTACTAGAACGGTTGTTTCATTTGATAGGATCTGTACTTCTCAATGAGTGTAACCTTCACTGTAGACCGTAGACCTTCTTAATTGGAAATGTTAGCATGGTTATTTAGATAACTGGGAAATTTTCTTAGTCTGAATTTTTAGCAGGATTGTGATTTACTGCATTGATGTTGTTAAGGAACTTCATCAGCTTGACAAAAAAGGAACATCGGTAATTCAGTCCAAAAAAATCAGCAAGTAATGTTGAGAGAGTGAGAGGGGAGATTATCTTAATATTTTAGCAGCCTTTGACTCAGCTCTTTGTGTTCTGTTTCCCTGTTAGAGATAGATGCGTTATATCAAACTTCTCTGTGAGTAAGAGGAAAGATTTGTTGAACGAATTTTGTCTAGTTTAGAAGAAAAACTTGCAGTGAAATCATATGCTAAAGATTCAGCTTTCATGCATCTACTTGATAAGCAGGCTATGAAGCCCAAATACTCCAAAAATGGCAGTGTCAATGTCATACCCGTTTTTGATACTGATGTGGATGTGTGCATGTGTCTCCTAGATGCATATCGAAGGAGTATCCTCCATTTTTTATCTTTTGTATTTATTGACTGATACGTTTGGGATGTGGCTTTGATACTTTTTATAGGATTAAAATTATATGTCTCTATCTTGCCTTTGTATCCTTAAAGCTGTAGTAAATAGTAGGCAATTTATATGGATCTAAGAACTTTCGTGATATTTTGATTTGGGTTGGGAAAAAATGTAACTTTGAAACCTATGAAGCCCAGATACTCCAAAAATGGAAAAGTATCAATGTCGTACCCGTATCAGACATTGATACGGCTCAGATACGTCAAGATACATATCCAAGGAGTATCTGATTATTTTTTATTTTTTATAAAAAAAGTTATTGGATACAACTCTAATACGGCTCCGATATAGCTCACAATGGCTAGATATGGCTTTATAACATTTGATATGGCTTGGATACATTTTTTTTACCCAAATGTTCGTTTTATTAATATTTTAAATTTTTATTTTTAGTTTTAAAATTTTTAAACGAAAAACCTTTTAAAAGTTAATATGTGTACTCTACAAAGACACATTTCTCCCTCTCTTTTTTTATCAATATTTTATATTTGTATAAAATTTTATATTTTTTATTAACATATCTATATCGTATTGTATCCTTAATTTCAAAAAAAAAAATCGTATTCCCATATCCATGTCTTATCGTACCCATGTCGTTCTAAGTATCTAAGCTTCATAGTTTGAAACTTGTTCATAGTGGAAAGCATATTCTGAAATGTGCAATGGAAAGATTTGTAACAACCTTTTGTTGTTATGATCACATGTTGTTTTTTTGTAAACTCTGACATCATTCATTAATATAGTTAAGAAAAACACAAATATCGAGCCACTTGTACTAACAACTTTCAATTTGTCTCTAAATCTTAGGATTTGATATAAGCTATGATTCACAATTCAAAAATTAGCTTAATGATTCATGATTTGGATGTCGATCTAGTAACCAAGCCTCATAGTAAGTAGGATTATTGGGCTACTATAATTGCATAACATATTTTAGCTAGTGAGTTGATTCCATCCTCATCAGATGTTTTCTTAGAATTTGAGCTTAGAGCTTAACTCAATCTCATAAAATTGACTTGTTAGGTGAGGGTTGTCTAAGTTTTATAAGTTCTATTTTAAGTCATATCTTTAGTCAATATAGGACTAAACACCATCCTTGAGGCTGCAATTTAAAGCAGACCCTAAAAAAGCTGCTACTAAGGTGGCTTTCCAACATGTTTCCTCCAGTACAGTGACACAGAGTAAAGCTAGCTTTTCACTGATTCTTTGAATTCCCTTGAAGCGTCCTTATGCTTTTTTTGCTTTTCATATTTTTTTTGTGCGTTTTGGTTGCAAACTTGAATCATAGAGGGAACTTTTCTTATATGCTTTATTTCTATTAGTTTTTAAATATAATAGTTGACACCATGAAAATTTGAAAATCTGTCTCAAAATTATCTTGGTACTCATGCCTTAACTTTCTGGGGTATTGCCGTCAAAAAATGACAAATGTTCTATGCAGTGCTTGAAAGTTGGAAGTGTTTAGGTTATTTGGAATGATGAGTATATGGCATTTGTATATAAAAATATGTAAAATGTGCTTTCTTGGATCCTTTAGAAGTAGATGGATTGATGTCTCACGTGTGTGCTTGAACTTGGTATATGAACACAATAATGAATAACCTGCCTCTTGGCCAAAGCCTTTCGTGTCTGTATGGGTTTAAATTTAGGAAACTTCATGCATTGGCAAGGTTGCTGAAACCTAAGCCAAGACTGATAAGTGATCCCAGATTAAGTAGAAAATGTCTCATGCAAAGGGTTAAGTAACTTAAGTTGTATCATACAATTTGTTTAGCCACAAATATTAGGCAAGCCTATGCCAATCACAAACTGAAACCGCAGAAGACAAGTGGTTTTATTGACTGTTCTTATTTTGTTCATGATAGTATTGACTTTATGGCATCTGATAATTGATAAGTGTGCATGTTTTTGAACTGTAGCATTACTTTCCTGTGAATAGTGCTGTGGCATACACATGTAAATGTTGAAAGAATTACTCAGTTTCTCTTTCTCTCATTACTTACAACATTATGTGTGCTATCAAAAATTTATCGTTTTGTCAAGATACATAGGCATATCCATCATCTGTGGATCTGAATGTTTTACCCTTTTTTTTGGGATTTGAAAAAACAGCTAGCGAAGACTGGCGAACCTACACATGGCAAAACTATTCCTATCCAGAATGCCTCTTTAAATGGAAAAGATTTGCAGCAACTCCAAACCAACAGCCCAGTTTCTGTTTTTGAAAGCAGTAGCTCTCCCTCAGTTGGGAATTCCAACTCTGAGTTACCTGTTGTCCCTACGAATCATCCTCGAGGCAAACGAGGCAGACGCCAGCGTCTCTCAAACATCAATCTGCTATACTATGTTCCTGTCAACTTAACTCCACCAGATTTTCAAAGGATAGCCGTCTCTGAATCAGATTTGCCAACACATTCTGCTGGGAAATTAATATACATAGTCAAAAAGCAGCAGAGGAGAAAAGACATTTCCTTGCCAACGTACAAAATTGAGATGAAGAGATCATCATCACAAGAGTCAGTTGCAACCAGAAAATGCATGCATTGTGAGGTGACAAGCACGCCTCAATGGAGAGAGGGACCAATGGGTCCTAAGACCCTATGCAATGCTTGCGGGGTTCGGTATCGGTCTGGACGGCTCTTTGCTGAATACCGGCCGGCAGCTAGCCCCACTTTTGTAGCATCATTGCACTCAAACTCTCACAAGAAGGTCTTAGAAATTAGGAACAGAGCAACCCAGGAGAGTGTTAGATAAACCTTGTTGGAAATCCTCTAGGATAGTATTGTGTTAGATTTTATTTAGTGGTAGTCCTAAACATGATTCTCTTGATTATTGTTCTCCTTTTTTTATGGTCTAATCCTAATCTTATATTGCCTAGCAAGTTAGCATCATTTGTTTTATGTAAATTGATTGGCAGAACAATAAAAGGTAGTAAGACTATAATAGTGGTTCAATGCATGCTATGCACTCAAGATGTTGAAAATTCTGAGAGAATTAAATTAAGACACTGTTGAAGCAAAGAGACAATATGGGATGAAAAGAGCTAGAATCCTAGAAATTGGATGCTGGTTGTGTTACTAGGGCATGGCGTAGAGGATCATGCATAGTTCTTCAGGTGCTTTGTGATATTTTTTAATTAAAATTATATTTTCTTTTCCTTTACAATTCATACAATAAAGGTTAATATTTAAAGTTGGCATGGAATATTGAGGCGAAGTTTCACTTTTGATTGATAAACAGCAGTAAAAGCAGACCTAAGCGGTGTCCAAATCAAGTGTTATCCATGTAGGCAAATATGTTGGGACTGATTAAAATGTTTTAAAATTTTGCATAATGATTTTCATTATTCGTTGAAGTTGCACAGTAGCATGTGATTTTCACCCAAACGTAACTCTCAATTCTGGTTCTCCCTATCTTCCAAAATATTATATTGAAGTGTAAATTATACTAGTGTCCTTTGAGGTTTTGCGAAATTATACATAATTTCTCTTTTTTCTTTTAATGTTCGTAGCAATATCTCTTATAGGAGAATACGGTGGAATGTTTTTCAAACAATTAAGGAATTTAATGCAATATATATGTAAAGGTTGTAAGTGTATTAGTTTTCAAATTAAGGAGTTGGTGTAAAAGTAGAAAAATAGGTGGTTTATATTAAATCGACACATTATCTCCATTTTATTATATTATTTTATTTTATTTTATTGTCAATAAAATGATAGCTTCATTTTCTTTTCTTCTGGAATAAATTCATCTGAAATAATATTTATGCTTAGTCACTTTTAAAATAATTGTTCGCCGAAATTGCAAAGCAGGCCCGATTTCTGTCCGAGCTTTTTGTATATCCAAAGATATGGGCCGCAAAGCATTTGTAGCCCATGGTCAGTGGTCAAACATGTTATTTTCTCAAGGGCCACAGCCCACAATCATGTACTTGGTACAAATGTTCCCAAAGAAATAAGGCACAAGTGCTTTATAGTAAATATATTAATAAGTATAAAAAATTATAAAGTTTTTAATTGATGATTTTTTAATAAAAAATTATAATTTTGAAGTTGATCTTTTGAGTACATTTTTTTAATTTCAAAAGGAGGTAAATTATGTTCAAGAAAAAATGATCGCATGCATGGAGAGTAGTTTTCCTGCATTTAATGTTCGTCCTTTGTTAGTTGATCCAAATTTGTGAATAATATTGACAAATGAAGTTCGAAGAGTTGGTGAGATGTTACATTCAACGTAATATTAATTAGACTAAATTATAATTTTGGTGTTTCTATATTTAATTTATAGTTTAGTCACTTAATTTTAGTTTTTGCATTATATAAAATCTACAATATTATCCCAAACATTAAATGTTTATTTATGAATTATTAAAATTATAACATTAATCATGATTTAATATTAAATAAAATGATGCAATAATTAATATTTAATAATATCTAAATTAAATTACACTTTAGATCTCATTTTTACCCTATAAATATTATAAAATGAGATAAAGTGTTAACAAATGAAAATGTAATTTAGACTAAATATTATTAAATATTAATTATTTTGTTATTTACTTAATATTACAATTTGAATAAACAGTTAGACTAAGATTACAATTTTATGGGCTTGATGTGGTTAAAGTTTACTTGTAACGCATGAATTTGAAACCAACAAGAAGTCAAAAAGCACCTTCCGAGTTAAGAAGGATTAATTAGTTCCACAAAATGAGAAGATATATATATATATATATATATTAGTTCAAAGTATTTATTGATGATTAATATTTATTTTTAATTCAGAACCATTTGAACGAACTATTTGTTATCCTTCTGTTTTTTTAAGGGTTTTGTTATCCTTTTGTTATATAACGAAGGTTACTACTATTATTCAATTTATACTTAGAAGAAACTTCATTTATAATTGATGTTCAAATAATTAGTTTCATATAACCGATGTTGGCTTCTATTTTTAAATTGTACCATTTAGACAAAAAAAAAAAAGTATTAAAAATATAATCACTTTTAAGAGAAAATAAATGAATTTAAAAAAATGACACTTTTCATAATTGAAGAATTAAATTCATAACAAATATCCTTCGATGATGACCAAAGTTGAAAACAAGAGTTTATTCTGATTATTACTATGATGATTCTTGCTGACAGGTTTTTCTCAATGTTCATGGGCAAGCATTAAACCAAAAGTTGAGACCGTGTCTGTTATAGTGAAATTATACCTTTCAATGCAAGTTAAACTGAACTCTCCTCTCACAATGATCCAAACACACCTAAACAAATGGGAAAATTAGTTCAACTTTTTTAACTTTGTTGCTTTTTTGTGTCCTTTTGCTGCTTAGTTTACATAGGTTCCATTTCTAGGGAATGACCGTGAATTGCAATGTTACTATGTAGTTTTAATTAAGAAGGTGCAATTGTGTTTGTGTAAATGCAAGTTGCCAAGTTTAGGTGAATGTCCATGTACCTCTCTATTCTCTAACTCTAAAGTCTAAAAGACTAGATTTTAGTTTACATATCCTAACCTATGATGAAAAAATTGGCATGATATGAAAGCACATGCATTATTATTCATAAATTAAAGTACTTCCCATCCTCCATGGTCCATTATCCATACCATAACTTCCTATTTTGAGACAGCAACATTACCCCAATTCCTTCTCCATCATTCATATGGCCTATATAGCTATCCTAGTCTATTTATGGGGGAAAAGTGAACTAGATATTTCGTTTATCACACTTTTTTTGTACTAAATTCAATTCAAACAATAATTTCTTTTTACGTTGCATATGTAGTTTGTTAGTTCAATTCCATCATGATTCCTCACTATAATCAATTAATGTCGCTTTCTAGTTGGGGTTGCCCTACAAAGATTACCCCTTTCCTTTTCACGGATAGGAACAACAAAACTAGAAGGAATGAATGGATGATGTGTACCTACTATCTTCATTTTCTGTTCTAAAATAATATTAGTTACACACTTTTATTTTTTTTCGATACTTTTAAACTAAGGTTACACTTACACGTTGTGAAATTATATATTTAATGAGAAATTAATTTCGTGTTCCAATTTGTTATGTATAAAAACTCTTTAAATTACAAACAAATAAAATATCGTAAGTAAAATTAATCTTTGAGACAATTCAAAAGATATATATATATATATATATATAGTTAAGCTTTTTTTTATTTTTTAACTTTTCATCATTTAATTACAATTAGTTTCATCTTCACTTTTATATATACTCTATTTTTTGTTGTCTTGAAGGCATAGTTGTTTGTTGTCATATTTAGGATACGTTTGGTTTAAGAAAAGGTTTTAGCTTATTCGAATTTGAAGTTAAAGAATGTTTGTTTTTCATATTTAGTTTATTATTTTTTAAAAAATACTATTATCATAAACTATTTTTTTACTTAGATTTCCAACGGAAGTGTTCTTATTGAGAAAGGCGAATCTAGCTTTCCAGAGTTGGAAACAAACATTTACTACAATAAAATTGTTATGTTATGTATATTCTCTAATTTAATGTGATAAAAAAAAATAGTGTTTTCAAGAAAATTTTATTAAAAATAATATATTATAATTAACATAACTGATATAGCTGGACTCAAAAATTAGGGGGCAAAGTAACAAAATAAAGAAGTTTAATTTTTACTAATTAATTTACTAAAATTAGTAAAACAGAAAATTTATTTTGATGTAAAGAATTTTTTTTTCATAAAATCAAGATTGGTCCAAGGTTGTCTAAATCCTTACACTAGGCCATTAGAAAGACGTTATATATTTATTATTATACTAATAATTTGGTAAAAGTTAATTTAGTCCTCTAAATTTATTTAAATTTGTTTTTAATTCTTTGATTTTTTTATATTATGTTAGTCCCTTTTAAAAATAAAATTTGTTAGGGTGGGTTCTTGTTTGATAAAAAATAAGTTTAGGATTGCTCCTTCTAAAAATACAAATAAGAACATTTTTTAATAAAAGATAGAAATTAAAACAATCCAACAGATTCTCATGCTTTATAGTTCAGTAATTATACAAAAAAAAAATTAATTAATTAAGATTAATATGCAAACAGTTATTGATATCCTTTCAACAATATATAATATGTATAAGAATAACAGTTGAAAACATAAATATAAGTCTCTCATTGAGATTACACATACAATCAAAAGAACATAATCAACATTGGCATGTTTCTATAATAATATAATCATCACAGTTTAACTACACAAAAAAAAAAAAACAAGGGTAAGCTCGTAAACAAGAAATCAACATGATGTAACATGGCAGTAAGATTTCAAATATATCAATAACTTTATAAATATCACGTATCATTAGTCTAGCTAAGACTTAGATAACAACACAGAACAACATATTAATACATCTTATTAATTCCACAACATATCATCATTTCAACTTATAACTTCAACATATAATAACCAACCAGCATACTAGTTTACAACTAGTCAACATATCAACTTGGTAAATAACCACACAACTTTACCATACAACACAACAGAATAACATAGCAACACAACAACACAGTAACCCACACACAACATCACAATGTGTCATCACATATTTCAATTAAGAAATTTCTTACAACACAAGTGAACAGTCTAAGTTGTTTAACCATATAGGACCAACTTAACAACATAATCTTTTTGGACTTATTAGATTAACAATAAATTTGGACATTAATCTACAACACATCATGAATTATTGGATTTAACCACTTAAATTAAGAAAGTCCAGTATCTGTTGTCAGGAATAATATAGTTTGGGTATGGACCCTCTACAATATTAACATGCATTAACCAAGTCACATATCTGTACAACCCACTAAATATCTTTGCGATACCATCGACTTTTCTAGTAACCTGTTAAAGATTTTACCCATTAACTTCGTACCTTACTCAATTTGTTCGATCTTAAACCCATGTTCGATTCTACCAAACTCGCGTCCAACGTCATTTAGGTAGAGAGCCTTTGCCTAACCCACACCCAACGCTATACAACTTGCACTCGATGTCATTAATGAAAAAAGCCATTAACTTGATCATGTCTAACACCACTCAACCTGCACCTAATGTCATTAGTTAGAGAGCTCCCAAGGCAATCACATTTG